GGCTTCCGATCTTGCTCGGGTGGCCCCCCTGCGGACCCCGCCCCGCCCGGAGCCAGCTTGCCTCCGAAAGGACCCCAAGCGAAGGGATCGCGACCGGTTTAAAAAGCAAAAAGCCGAACTCACCTGTTGGGAGGCTGCCCTTTGTCCAGGAGACATTAGCGCTTCCAGGCAGGAGTTTGGGATTGTGCGGAAGGAGGGGCGTCCAGAGGAGTGCACAGAGCAGCACTTCTCAACCTTGGCAGCTTGGAGACTCCCAGTGGACTCCGACTCCCAGAATTCCCCAGCCAGCTTGGCAGCTTGCAGACTGTGGACTTCAGCGCCCAGAATTCCCCAGCCAGCACAAATTCCTGGGATTCCGGGAGCTGAAGCCCACCCATCAAAGTGGCTAAGGTTGAGAGACGCTGCTCTAGAAGGTCTCCTAGTGTTCATCCCTGGTCTTCGGCTCCCTTTAACGTTCCTCCCTTTTTGCCTCTCTTCAGAAGATTTGGTCTTCCATGCTGGACCCTCTTCCGAACCTCTTCCTCTCTAAAGGCTCCAGGCTGTTTTGCTGGGAGCCACCCAGCGGAAGGACGGCTTTGTAGGATCTTGCAACCGATGGGGGCCAAGCACCCAGTCCTGCTCTTCCTACCCTTGTCAATGCTCTGCTGGTTCCCGGGGGGCTTCACGCTGCTAGAAACAGACGGAGGCTGGTGAGTAGGCAGGAGAAAACAGGAAAGGTGTTGGGTTCTTCTAAAGCTGTGTTTTTCAAACTTGGCCACTTTAAGATGGGTGGACTTCAACTCCCAGAATCCCCCAGCCAGCATGGGTGAACTTCAACTGCAACAGCATGCTGGGCAGGGAATTCTGGGAGTTGAAGTCCACCCATCTTAAAGTAGCCAGGTTTTTCTGGAAAGTTTGAACACTGTCCTAACACAGCATAAATTATGATATCTCAGCACAACAAGCCATTTAAATACTAACGAAAGTCAATTCTTACCCAGAATTCCTGTCTGTCTCAGTCATGTTTGAGAAGTCCCTTTCATTATGCAAAAAGATCTTCCCATCCAGTGGTGTTTTGTGGGGGATTTTTTGCACACAGGTTTTTGGCTTGGCTAACAGATTCCAAGAAGAAATTCTCGGACTTGCATCATTCCCCACTACTGAAAATCACAAACTCTTCTCATATATGTATATATATGTACGTGTGTGTGTATATGTTATACATATACATGCATACATATAGTAGAGCTTTAAGGGCAACAATGAATATGTGGCCCTGTTCACGGAAAGGTAAGTGTTATGGCCAAAAGATTTTTGCATTTCCCAATAGGGTGCTAGATTTCTACCTGCAAGGCAGTTCTAAGGTCGGAGGTTTTCTTTGTTTTTTTATTCTTTTCTGGGAGCTTCCTCCTGGAATCCGAAGCCATACAGTTAATTGGCTGCATCGTGAGCTGCCAGCCAAGCCCAGACAATAAGCCTTTCCCTATTGATGAAACCCACATAAAGAAAAAAAAAATCTTTGTATCGCTGTGAAGCAACATCAGCCTTCCTGTCTTTTGTCCCTACAGGCGGACAAGCAGGCACGCCGCGTTGTCAGAAGACGGCAGCTGTACAGTGGAGAGGAGAGACGCCACCCTCACGTTTGCCCAGTTTATTCAACAGTAAGTGATGGCAGACCACCCAGCTTGGCAATGTTTGCCACCACGAGGGGGCAGCAGGCGCAGATTCCAGATAAACTGTTGCAAGAAGGAAAGATGGAAAGTTGCATGTCTGGATGGCTCCCTCTTTTGCTAGACATGTACGATCTATTTATTTAGTTCCTTAGTTATTTAAACTGTTTCTGGGTCCTTGCCAGACCCTCCATCCCTGGGAACTCTGGAACCTTGAAGTAAGAGTCAGGCACAAAGGGCCATCTGAAATTCTCCCCTGCTTTTCCATCAGCCCTTTGTGGTAGACCAGACTTGGAAACCCAAGTCATACAGGCCAATATTATTTTTATGATAAGGTTATAGTAACAGAAACTTGCAAGTCTGAATGCACTTTCCCTCTCCCTCCCTTTATCTTTGTGAGAACTAGGGAGAGTCTTCCCTGAGACACTTTCTCAGGTTACAGTTCTGGCCCGGGTTCAGGTTTCTTTTATCCGACCGTTGGCTTGGTTGTGGCTCTTCCTCCTGTTCCTCAAGGTTATTCTCACAGCCCATTATGGAGTTTGGGAAGAGAAATTGGGTGGACAATCTCTTCAGACTTCTCCAGGGACTCTCCTTAGTAGAGGTAGGAACAGCTCTCCTGAAAAATGCCCCAGGAGATGAGTTTCTCCTTGGGATTTAATGAAAATGTGGGAAGCCCAGGAGACTGCAGACCGCTGGACAGAGGAATAGCTTCTTGGCTTAACCTGATTCTGAAATAAGTGCAAACTTCCCCGAACTTCTCTTTGCCTTTGAAAGCATTCCCAGAGCGAATGATTTATTACAGAACGTGATGAGGATGGGCCCTACAAATGCAAGATCATTTCTCTCCCTGTCTGAAATCCCTTTTCATACAACTGGAAAGGCAAACCAACGGTGAAAAAGTTAAACTATATTCATGCCCTGAAAGCAGGGGGTGTTTTGTAGCACAGTCGAAGGATTTCAAAGGCAAAAGGTTTTCAGCAGGCAATGTGGCTGAAATAAGGTCGCCGCACACTGAAGGAGGAGCGTAATCCGCAAAGTCGGTGCCACAACCAACAGGTCTGCTTCTTGGTAGGTGTTAAGTGACTATCCACAGGATGCAGCTCAACCAGGAAGACCTCTGTTGAAGAGCACAGCAGTTGGGCAGATCAGTGTGGGCAGAAACCTTCCTGGGATCCTGCTTTCTTCACCCTGAAAAGTCTTCACAGTCTATTGTTGTTCTATAATCCATAATACTATCACAATGATCTCCTTCCCCTTCTCCTTCCCCATATCTCTCCATTCCTTCCCCTTTTCTCCTTCTCCTCCTCCTTCTCTGCCGCCTCCGCCTCCTTCTTCCAGGTACGCCTTCTCTCGGCCGGTAATTCTCCAGGGATTAACGGACAATACTGTGAGTGCCCCTGCACTATAGATTTGGGTGAAATATAATTGCCTACTCCCTATAGGCAATTATATGTTTGAGGCCCCTTCATACTGTGCATGCATTAATAAAGCAGGGTGATCAGTCTAGGACTGCGAAGCCACTTCCTGGACCTCGAGTGTGGTCCCAGGCTCTCTCCAAAAGTACTTTTGAGTGTCATAGAAGGGGGAAATCATTTCGTATGTAGAAATAACAGCGGTTGGGTTTGCATGGGGTTTCCTTTGGGGTTTCCTTAACAGTGACTTTCTGAGTCCACCTAATTGTCTGGGCTTGAGCAGATCATTGAGTCACACACACACTCAGACCCATGTGCACCAGACAATAACAGTAAAAAGGATCTAAAATAAGAGAAGTGGAGGCTGTTACCCTGGCAATGAGAGTAACAAGCAAGTTTCTTTCATACAGCTGAGTACCTTAGCCAGTAAAACACACTGACTTGTGTTCTCACAGCATGCTTAATCGGCTTAGTTATAAAGCAAGCCGTTGAACTCACACGTGTTAGCATAATTAGGGTTCAGATGGATCGGCCTTTTCGTGGATCGGCATTTGATGTAAACCCACCCCTTTGGGACAGTTTAGGTTTTAATGTCCTCCTGGAACTCAGAAAATGAATCTATGCAATAACTAGGTATAGTGTATCCTACAAACACAGCCACTCCTCTTCCGTTCTGTATGAACTGTCCAGGTTCAAGGTTTGCTTCGTGCTTGAAATGAATGTTGAAGAGATCGAATTGCCCCCAAGGCTGTCAAAAAAATTAAGGTGGTAGCCATGACCATTCAATCAAAGCCTTTCTCTTTTTCACATGTATCCCAATGTGTGTCATGAGACTTTGATCGCATGCTTGTGGCTGCCATCTTGAATTTTTTGACCCCCGCCTCCCACATATACTTGATTGCCCCTCCTGCCCCATTTCCAAGCTGAATACTATCAGAAAAGAAATCATCATCATCATCATCATCATCATCATCATCATCATCTTTGGCCCATTCTTTCTTAAAGTCTCCTTAAATTCCAAACTGTGAACTCAAATATTTGTGGGGCTATATTCCTTGTTTTGTTTTCTACTAGCATGACTAGTAGGTAGATCTGATGGCAGTCCAGCAATATCTGGAGGCCTGTAGATATGGAGAGGCTGGGATAATGGCTCAGTAGAGACCTCTGTGAAGCTTGAAGCTCCCTGTTGGCCCACAAAGGGGAGACATCTTCCCATGCTTTCTGGAGATTACAATTCCCAGAGCAGTGTTTCTCAACCTTGGACACTTGAAGATGTGTGGACTTCAATTCCCAGAATTCCCCAGCCAGCATGGCTGGCTGGGGAATTC